TTGCTTATAAAAACATCTCAAAGATAATACGTTATCTCCATTTTTCAATTCTATTACTCACTTATCAGAAAGTGAGTAATTTTCCAATACACTTTTCTTCAATTTGTTTCTCAAGCCAATCTAGAACATTTATTGTGCTATCATTATTGAAAGATTACAAGTTAGGTTAGGTTAGATTCAAAGCTAACTCAAATAATTTAAGATTATTGGAAAATCTTCTAATATCTTTTGATTTAAGTTTCTCACTTAATTTTATGAGAACTACATGAAGGTACTAGCAGACACATTTCTGGACAATCGCAGTGCAGGAGCAGATAAAATAATCGGATGTTTCAGTCTGCTTTGCATGTAGATGACGATGTCCTTTAATCCCATTTTAAAAAGGTCTTTGTTGAAATCTATTTTAAATGAGAAATATGCCACTTTTGTTATTCATTTGAATGAGTTCTTTGGAATTTTGAAACAGGTCTAAAATCGGTTCCTTCACAAACAGTTAATATTCAATATTTCTAGGTTCTGGTGCAAAAAGTGGCTATGTGCGTTATGTCTTATTTTACTCTCTTTATAACTCGTTATCTCTTCTTAACTACACGTATCAGGCTAACATTAATGTGTAGTGTAAGTTTCTGTGCCATAGATAAGAATCGGTTTGACGAAGATGGCATATAGTTTCGAAGTTTTGTTTTATTATCAATTTCAAGAGACAATGGTGAGGGGTTTTCAGTCATAATAAACAAGTGATTTCAAGTGTTGAATTCGGGCATGGATGTGTCAAATATTTAGTTTCAAGTACAATCTAATGCAACATATGTTCTGCATTTGTGAAGTAATTGTTAGATAGTAACTCGCGTCCCAAACGAAACGGAACTCACTTAAGTCTTGAGAAGTAACATAAAAGATACATGTTAACTGACTTCTAGGAATTTTATTTTAAGAATCCTTCCGTCTGTATTTGCATTTAGTTGCATTTAATCGACTGCCTTTTTATTTCGTTCGTGTATTTTTTTTTCTTAATCATAATTTATAAGCTTGACTTACTAAACCAAACCACTCAATTCAAAATTATCTCATCTGTTGTCGTTGCTAATATTGACGCCTTTGAATAAAATTCTATTCGCTTAAAAAGCGCATTTATCATTTTAATTTAAAAAAATTAAAAAACAACTCCTCCGCATATTAAAATCAATACGACCGAGTATTACTCACTCATAACAGGCAGGAATGTCTGTTTACACAAAGTTGACTTGTCAATTACTGAAATGGGTCGAGATCTGGGGGAAAAATAAATGCATATGCATGAGTTCGAAACTGAGTTTTTGATTGCGAAAACAAGTTCGAAATTAGCATTTCAGTTGATTCTCTGAAATCTTCTGGCCAGTAAGGGAAATGTAAAAAGAAAAAGTGAATCGTTTTGTGAGTAAAACTCTTCACGCTAGTTAGAGTAAATCTGAAATACTCTAATTAGAAGATTTTTTTTTTGAAAAAAAGATTTTATTTGCAACAATAAAAAATATAAATTATTAAACTTGACTTAGTTAAAAACAAAAAAAGCTCGTCTTCAAATTAATGCCCAAAATTTAACTTGTTTCTTTTTATGGTATAAAAATAATCCGTGATTGAAGCAAGCACTCGCCGTTAAGCCCAAAATCATCTATTAATTACAATTCGAATCACAACTAAGTTAAACACGCTGACACTCAATCAAAAAATCCATTTCAGTTTTGTACTAAAAATAATTAAATTTGAAAATCATAGAAAAAAACCAAATAAAAATTTAACAAAAAACAGAAAAGATAGGAGAAATCGAAATCACATTTTGAATTCGTCAATCCGCAGTCAACAACATTCTTCATCCACAGTTCAGCATAGCAAAGCACAGCACAGTACAGCACAGCACAGCACAGAGCTGGCTGGCACTCCATTGCGAGGCCTACTAAAGTCGGAAAAGAGGAACATTAATTCACTTGGTTGTGTCTGAGTGAACCGAACCGTCGGCGTCGCGTATCTCAAAATAGCAATTGCAGCTTTTCTGTATCTTCGCTCGTTGCCGTTGCCATTGCAGGCAGGCAGTAGACGTAAGGTGCGAGGCGTGAGACAACTATGGCGTATAGGAAGCAATAAAAATTGCACTGGAAATATACATTATGCGTTTTGTAAGAGTTAAAACTTCAATAAAAAAAAAGAAGGGCAATTGAACATTTGAATTGTAGTCCATTCGAATCGACTTTAAGAATCACACTACGTGGTCGTGTTTTATTTTTTAGAAAGTTTAGAATATGTAATTGTTGAAATTCATATCAGTTATTGATAGAAAGGCGGAACACGTTATATATATGTTATATTTAATAAATAACATATAGTAAATATAATATAATATATATAATATAAATTATAATAGGTTAGGTTATGCTGGAAGACCAAAAAGGCCACAGATTAGAGCCTTAATTTTTTTAGTGATAATGTGCATCGCTTAGGATGTGCGTGTTATTAGCGAATTTTATTAGGACTTCAACAAAAACCTTAGGTATGTGCTCCAGTCCGGTAAAATTGACAGCCCCCAAGAATTTTTGTCGAGTTTTCGAGAGAGCCAGGCAGGGTTTCCTTTACATCCGACTCGTTGCATTTCCTACAAGCATCGCTGTGAATTGGGTTTAGTTTACGATCAGACAGTGACCTATCAATATACCAATTAATGTTCTACAGTTCCTTCATTTATTATAATGATATTGATTAATTTTTATAATTACCTACTCCGGATGAAAGTCTGATCTTTAATTGAAACTTACACTTAACTGTTTGCTATGCCTTAATTCTTAATATAAAATATATCACTGAATGTTACTCACTCCCATTAGCCATGGACCTTTCTTACCACTATTCTGATCAATTGTCACGTTTTTAACTTTCATTGTCTGCATTTTATCTTTCTTTAGCTTCCAATTCTTCGCGATATTTCATTTTTCTGGTAGCATTTTCTGACCAATAATCATAGACCACCATACTCACTATGTTTGTTGATTTATTATGAGAGTTTTTAACTTCTATTTAACTTCTATTCTATTCTATAAGTCTGCACACTATCTATCAGTTACCTATTTTTATTGAAACGTTCATTTTTGATAGCAGTTTTTGAGACCCATTAAACATAACATTAGTATTTCTTAGTATGCAAGATCGGTAATTTCTTTTTTAATTTCGATAAGGATTGGTTAAGGATTGTTGAAGTAAATATAAGATATCGATATATCTTTTTTGTAAAAATATACAAAAGGCTCATCTCTCCAACTCTGTCTTTTCCATATTATATTGGATATGAGTCAATATTCTTGACTAAACTGCAAAGTACAGTTCTAGACTATTTAAAATTCCAAATGCTATGTATGTTATGTCAAATGTCATAAAGACAGATGCTGGGTTTTTTGTCTTCTACAGTTAAAGGTCACCCAGAATAATTTAGCCATCAGAGATAATCACAGCAATCAACTGAAATATATTAAACACAATGCGAAGTGCACAAGCCAAGAAATAAAAGCTAAATATTCTACTAACCTAAAATACCCAAATTAAGTTTAAGTCGTAAAATCTTTTTACTAGAAAGAAAACATAAAATTGAATAATCACTCAAGTTGTTTATGGAGTTTGCCGTCATGGACCAATTTCTACGATTTCGAAAAAAATGTGATAATTTCACCGAAAATAAACGCTAAGCTGATTAAATTCTGAATCGGCGCACGTCGAAAAGTAAAACTTAATCGTTCTGCAACCTGAAACCAGAAGAAAGAAAATCTAACCGAGAAGAGGAGAAACTGAGCCTCACTTAAAGCAAAATTAACGAAGTAGAAAAATAGAAACGTACAAGAATTGAAAGAAGAAAAAACTTCGACCGGTGTTTTGACTCTGAAGCTGTAGTAAAAAATCTTATTTATAAATTTTTTAGGTTTAGGTCTTTCAATTTTTTGTTTATGTTGTCTTTAGAGTTGACCTGGTGCAGTTGCAAATTATTTTGAAATTTAAATTTAATTGAAGAGAATTTACATTTTACTTTACAAAAACACGAAATCTTCCGAACTTGTAGTTGTGGAAAACCGAGTTAATTTTCTAGTTAAAAAGTAGGAAGAAGCACTTTTCAGACACGATCCATATTTCTTACACTGAGCACTAATATTTTACTTATTGCATGCCATATATTATACCGTTGACAGAACTTAGTAAGTTGAGGTTGATTGCAGTACGTGATCTGTACACATACCATATACTACATACCTCAAAACCTTGGGTGTGTGGAACGCCCTATTCGAAAATGTCTGTCATTTTCAATAGTGCATAACGTCGCTCAGACTGACATAAAAACCAACTTCACAGCAATAAGCCAGACATGCTAAGAAGTTTGTCGTAGGCAGAGAAGGGGCGATGTGTGGTAGGAAGAGTACGTGACCCACCCACAAATTTAAATGCAGATAAAATTGAAAGACTCCAACTGCAACTGCAACTGAAACTGAAACTGAAACTGCAACTGCGCCATTGTTAGCGTAGGCCGCCCGTTTCAGCGTTTATGCCTTTGTTTCTGTGCATACGTAATGTTTTAAGCACAGTTGGTCATGAGATACAGCGGAGAATGGAATGGAAATGAGTATGTATGAGCACAATAATAACTAACAACAAAATAATTTTACACATAAATGCTTATACATTTCATAAAGTGAATATACGTATGTACCAGTATGTTTCTCTCCCTGCTTCAATATGCCAACCAGCCAGCGAGTATATACATATGCGATGAACTTAAAGTAGCGTCAGTGCTATTTTTACTTGTATTTCGTTAAGAGTCAGTTTTAGGAAGGTTTACTGTTTGCTCATACTGACCTATGCAATAGTCAGAGTCAGCAAGTTGGTGAGGAGAGTAACTCTTCAAATAGTTAGTTTAACTTAATGATTAAGTCCGCATCTTCCGAAACGTGTTACACGTACTAATAATTTTTATTTGTCGTTTTTTTTTTCAGAATCATCGCAATTCAAACGATGAACGTGTTCCACCACATTCACCGCATGACAGCAGCAACATCACACAACCACATCTCTCTCATCACAATGGCTTACAGCATTCAGGTTCACGTTCAACACTTCGTCATTCCATGACAGCAACATCAAATTCTACACCATCATCACCACAATTGAGCGGCATTGTGTCAGTTTCAGGTGGTCAATTGATTTCGAATGGTCATCAGTACAACTCGCAATCATCTGTTTCATCGCAGTCGTCGATTATATCCACCATACCAGCTTCACAGCGCTTACTTGAGGACGCCCTAGCGAAGCCTGCACCATATCCCATGATCATATTACCCATCAATGGTGGTTATTGGGTTGAGGGCACTGAACACGAATGTTCGTTCGATGCACGTGGCAATCCAATGTTGTCGCAAACAACTTGGATGGCTAAATTTGAAACGGATGATACCGCAAAATGCTACAGGCGCTTCTACGCTGCACGCGAGCATTCTAATTTGGTTGGACACGATGAACAGCTCGGTCCGGTGCTTATCTCAGTTAAAACAGAGAATGTGGCTAATCAAGAGCATGTACGCATATTATTGCGTTTACGTACCGGCACCATGCATGAATTGATACCGGTTTCATGCCTAGGTCTTAATCCTAGCCCTGCAAAGATGGTGCGATTACTAAATGATCAAATCAATGTTGATAGTTTCATGCCTGTGGTATGTTCGAAAGCATCACAATTAATCGGCGTCTACGACGAACATGTGCTCGTTTCACACTTCAAATTTGGCGTCTTATACCAAAGATACGGTCAGACAACTGAGGAAGAATTGTTCAGCAATAACAACTCCTCACCCGCTTTCGAAGAGTTTCTCGATGTGTTGGGTCAACGCATTAAATTAAAAGAGCACAAAGGCTATCGTGGTGGTTTGGATATACAGAACGGTCACACTGGTGACACTGCTATTTATGAAGTATTCAAAGAACGCGAAATTATGTTCCACGTCTCAACTATGCTGCCTTACACCGAAGGTGATCCACAACAATTGCAGCGCAAGCGTCACATTGGAAACGATATAATCGCGATTGTTTTTCAGGAATCCAATACACCATTCTCACCTGACATGATAGCAAGTCATTTCTTGCACGCCTTCATAGTTGTGCAGCCACTTGAACCAAATACACCGAACACGCGCTACAAAGTGAGCGTAACAGCAAGAGATGATGTACCTTTCTTTGGGCCAACTTTGCCAAACCCGGCTGTTTTCCGCAAAGGGCAAGAGTTCAAGGAGTTCATACTTACAAAGCTTATAAACGCAGAAAATGCTTGCTACAAAGCTGAGAAATTTGCTAAATTGGAGTTGCGCACCAGAACATCGTTGCTACAAAATTTAGCTGAAGAATTAAAGGAGAAAACACGTGATTTCTTGGGCGTCGATTTGACTGTGAATACACCATCAAGCCCAACGCCCGAAACACCAAAATCTGATAACAGCACTGCTGGTTCACGCTTTATCGATACTGTTAAGAAGGCACTGATATCGCGCGTACGCTCACAGAGCGTAGACACAGGCAATATTTCCAATATGGAGAAATTCTGCGTATCAACGAAAATGAATTCATCTGCTGCATCGACTAATTCTAAAAAGGACAACAGCCTTATCGAGACTCCAACTTTAAATGTAAGTATGAATAATTTTCTTAAAATGTGAAGAAAATCATTAAAATCATTAAAATATTACCTTTTTTACAGACTTGTAGTCGCACTGCCTCAAAGTCATCATCGAAATCAAAATCATCGAACGATTCAACATCGTCCTCGCCTGACATAACGTCGCGGGGACCGCTAAATGGCTCGGGTTCTAATACTTTGAACAACAATAGCTCCTTAAATAACACACACCAAATACCAAAAGAAATGCAAAATAGTGCCAACAGCAGCACAAATACTACACACAGCGCTGGAATTGCCCATGGTATCGGTCTGGGAGTTGGCGTTGGTATTGGTGTCGGTGTAGCTGCAATGTCGGAAACATCGGATGATTCCAGTTTGAACAGCGTTGATCTTGATCCTATGATTGGGCATTTGGATGGCGGTGCTGCTTATATTGACAGCGATACTGGACTGGAGTCTATGTCGTCTGCAGAAGCCACGACTAAAGCATGTTCACTATGCCTTGATGGTGTGCAACAAGCAGCAATGGGTAGCGCATCGAGTAATGAAACGGTCGTAATTATCGAGAACTTGCGCCAGGAAGTAACGCGACTTAAATGCGATAAATTGGATTTGCTAAGACAGAATGTGGTAAGTAAAGGGACTATACGAAGTCCGCTGCGTTTGTAATATATATGAGTAAGAGAGTATATGCTTATTTTCTATGCTTTGTTTCTAGACTTGTCAGCGTGACATAAAGCGACTACGTGAGCGTGAACTATCCTTGCAGGGCGATTTAGCGGCCGCTGGTAAAGAAATTTTACGATTGCGCGACTTATTGAAGGAATATATGCCCGATTCGGCAGCATCGAATCTTTCGATATCACCGATTTAAGTTCAATAATGCATTGACGACAATGACGACGACACAACAACAAGAACAAGAACAAGAACAAGAAATGACTCAACAGTTTATTGTTTGTAGGCTAATAAGCTAAGCAATCGTCTTGGCGTGGAGGAGAGCTTCAAAATACAAAATTTGCAAAGCAAATTTTCGTTTGTTCATAAAAAATGAAGAAAATAAAACCACTGTGCCGTGTTAAACACTTTTTTGTTTTAAGAAGCAGGAGGGCAGGCATGCAGGCAAGCCCCATCGCTCGCCTGCCGCTTCACACAATTTTGTATTATTACTAATAGAAAATTGCAATACTTAAAATTCGAAAATTTAACTTAACAAAAAGAAAAACAAAAACAAAACAAACAAAAAACATTAATTTTATTTAAAAGAAAACACAGACACAAAAAATTACACCAAAAATTTAATTTAAGTCTTTTTTTAAATTTAAGAGTAAATTTTATTGTTAAAAACTTTAAGAAAAACACGAAAAGGAAAAACTTATGCAAAAAAAAGAAAAGAAAAAAAAACAATCAGAAATATCGAAAATGAATCAGAAATGTCTCATTTCCGGCTTACAATAGCCGGGCTTTCGAGCGCTTATTGAGGAGTTGATAACTCCGAATTACTTAAAATTTTCTTTATATTCTCATGTTAAGAAAAAATTTCGATTTAATATTTGTTTCCGTTTCCGCTGAAAAGCATTTCTCTCGTATAAAACATACCGAGGCCCCGCCGTCGCGTTATAACTCAATGGAGTAATGGATCAATGGAGCAATGAAGCATTTCTACGCCTTCAACTGTACACTCCTCACTGAGTGTATGCCTAGGGAAAACTGAGCTTATTTTAAATCTTGAATAATTACAAAAATTTAAAAAAAATGATTAATTAAATTAAATTAAATTAAATGATCTGACTGAAATCGTGCAAAGAGTATGGGAGATAAATAAATAAACGGAAGAGTAGAGCAGGAAGAGTAGGAAATTGCCTTTGGTTCGTACTTTTCGTTTAAGATTTTTGAGATTTTTTTTTTATAATACATTTACATTTATATATATAACTATACAAATATATATATGTATATTTGTATATTCATGTATACAATTTTTTTGTGTTTACTAAAATTTTACTATTTAATACTAAAGAGAGTGAATATATAACCAATGATTAATACAAACAATAACATTTAATATAAAACAATATAAATATTGTTCAGTATGTAAGTTTATTATAATTTTTACGAAATGAAATTAATTTTAAGTTCTTGATTTTTATTTAATTTTTAATTTTTAATTTTTGATTTATAAATCTTATTTTTATTTTTCTGTTTTGTTAATCTTACTTTATTAACTACGAACACACACAGAATTTGCTGTAAAAATACTTTATTTTCTTATTATTAAATTTAATATTGAATATTATTTTAAATTATTATCTATATCACTTAAAAAATATTATTTTTAATCGAGTATTAAAATCGAGTGTAGAAGAGAGAAAAATCAGAAAATGAAAAAAATGTAGTTTCTTAGAAAAATCTATTTGATCTTCAAAGCAAATTATTTAAATAAATATAAAAGTTATTTACAAAAGTAGTTCAACTGCATATTTCTTTTATTTACATTAATAATCTATGTATATATATAAATATGTGCATATAACCATTCATATAAACAATACTTATTTAAATTTAAATTATAATAACTTTCAAAGTATTCTCATTACAGTTCAAACAAAAAAAAAACAAAAAAAAACAAAAAAAAAACAAAAAAAAACAAAAAAAAAAAAAAAAAAAAATATATTTACTTGAATTTTATATATGTATAAATAAATGTAAATTTGCATATTTAGAGACGCATTAAAAAGTTCCAAAACAATTCGTATTTTTTAGTAAAAACTCAAAAAGCCACCTTATTGATGTACTCATTTTTTCAGTCATAATTACAGATAATTCAGGGAATATAGACGCTAAAATAACTAACATGATTCATTGTAATTGACACCTATTCCCACCCAATCCACTCCTACTTCCTAATAATCTCCTCCACTCTCACCCAACCATTACCCATCCATATCCGAACTTATGTATTCGTCATGTAATTCCTTTTATGTTATCTGCTCTACAGTTCCCCGGGGGCTACAACAACAACAATATAATTGACATGTTGTCCTAGATCAGCATAGATTAAGATTTGAAGTAACGTTAATATATATGCATACTATATATGAAGGTTTATTCAGTTGTCACTGATATTATTAGAGATAGTAATTACCGTCTTTACTGTATAAATGTAAATAGTATGTACCTACTTACTTTTACTCTAAATTCTAGAGTTTTGACAGAATAGCTCAGATCTGGTCACTTTTCAAATAAGAAATTTATAAACATTTTTCCAGTTGTCAGAGATATAATCAAGAAAAGTAATAAACGTTTATACATATGTACCTACTTTATTCGACTCTGAGTGTTAGAGTCCATACAGAGCGAAAAAATTGAAAATACAATTTTTTTCGGCTTTTTATGAATACCAAAACCAAATAATGAGCTTCGATTTCATCATAAGACTCGACACAGGATTGATTCGTACCTGGCGAACCGTTCTATTGTTCACAGTGATCTTATCACTTGAAAAACATACTCTGCTTAAGAAATGGATTCTTGACAATATGGGAAATATTATTTTTGTTTCATTGCAAAACCATTCAAGGTCATATGTACCTGGTATCGATCAATTATTTAATATTAGAACATTTCGACCATTTAATAAAATAAATAAATATAATAAAAATTAACACACGTATGTGTGATTTTTGTATATATTTGAAATTGAATAAAATTTTAATTTACTGGAAGCCAGAGATGGCAGAAATTGATTAAAAATCGAGATATATAACAAATTGCCAGAAACCAGATTATCTGGATTATCCTGCCTTAACCGTGTTGTTGGTGTTGTTGTCCGTAGTGATCTATATAGCAGATAACAAAAAAGAAATTACAAATCCGAATATATGGATTAGGATATGGTTGGACAAAGGAAGTGTGACCTTAATCGAGTTGGAAGGACTTTCATATATTATTGTCATACTTGTTTCGGAACTTTACATAAACTAAATTGAAATATATATCTATATACAAATCAAGTAAATATATATATTTGAAATTAATTACAAAAATTAAAATAATTAAATACACAAATGATTAAACAAAAATAAATAAATAAAATTGTTAAAAGGTTAAGAGATGCAAAATTCAAATCTATTGCCAATGCTAATGCTTAACATAAATTTTGGCTGCCGTTTATACCTATTAGTTACAATGGAAATATATATACATTTATATCATTATATGATTATATACATAGACTTATACAAAATATATAAGCATTTATTGTTGAATTAAAGCGCTTAAAGTATTCCAAAACTTAATGTCCAATGATTTATTTGAAATTTCGATGAATTTGTTATGTGAACTCTTGAGCTATAGACACGACGTTGTAATCCGCTTTTCTAACTTACCTGTTAAGTCTCTGAGTGGAGTGATGAACGGCATTTATTATTGTTCTCTAAAAAGATGATCTGAAGACGAAAACATAAACGAATCAGTCAATAAGAGTACATAAGGTGAGATAGAAAGAGACGACTAGGTGATTCAGTTTAGGATATCGAAATTAAAGCGGATCATGATATTCAACTTAGACTAGCAATAAAAAAGAACAAGTTGTCCGGGATATTCATCTGTATGGGAAAAATGTATATATATGCACGAAAAAACTTGTAATAAATACGTACCCGGTTTTAATACACCTTCAGACCTTGAGTAGTGCTCCTGGATGTAGAGTCTACGTTCCAGCAATTACGTTAAGTTATTAGTTTATTAAAGAATGCTTTGGAAATAGGAAAATATGTATTATGTATTACATCTGTTCTCTGTTTATATATTGACTGCATATTGTACGAGTACTACATTGTTCCATTTATATTCAAAATTTTACCGTATATAAAATATATCACCGTTAGCCATAAAAGTAAAGACGTTAGTATAATTGTGCTTTGTGGGACTAAGTGGTTGTAGATAAGAATGACAATTGTTAGTTATGTTACTTGGGATATTTCTCAGTAGTGACTTAGTATTTTTCTGTGTTGGACGATACTAGTTGTTCATAACTCCTTGGTTTTTAATTTTTATAAGAGTATATATAATCGCTAGATGTTTATTAAGAATATTTTTGCTGGTCTACAAACTTTATAACAAAGTACACCCATTATGATAAAATTTTTAATGTTATTAAATTTATTGGTAAGTAATACTGTCTGATAACAATCTTATATTGAAATAATAATAATAATAATGTTTGATTTCTTGAAATTTTTCCAAATTTCTTCTAATTAAACTGAAACGTTATAGTTCTGAATATATAAATATTTGACTTTATTCTGCTTCAAACAGTTTAAACTGTTCTAAACTTTATTTTGAAAAGCAAGCGGTTTCTTATCAAAAACATTAACCTCAATAGGTTGAGTAAAGAATCTAAAATAACAATTCAATTTATTACAAACAATTAATGTAATTGTAAAAACAACATGTAAAGAACACAAACAGTTTTATAAAATTGTTTTTGTTTTACTAAAGTAAAAGAATTCAATATAGTCTGAGGTGATCTATTATATATAATCCCTCAAAATGTACTTTTCATTCTATTAAATTAATATCTACAAATAACATTGGCTTCTATAAGTTAATTTTTATTTAAGAAAAAAGAGGGACATATGACTATGGAACCTTATTTTAATGAGTCAGACACTCTATGAAACTCCACTTACCTATCTAGTGGTTTTCCTTCCTTGAATAGTTTCCTTCAAAACTCTATATTTATAAAAGCTATTAAGTAGGTAGGTGAAATCGAATAAGAAATAACCGATCTCCATTTGCTAAAGAGCTGTTTTGATTAAACTATTACTCGTTAAAATACCATAAAGAAATGGAACACCTCATAACCTGTCAGACAGTTTTAAAAACGTTAGTACTTTACTAATTTCTAAGCTGAAGAAATTATGTATCTAATAGAAAAAATTGAATGCTTAGGCCGTGTCCAAGTTCGAGTAAATTAATGGCAAATTGAGGGAAATAGTAACTTATGTCGGTATGGCAGCGAATGTTAGTGTTTACCAGAATTTCGTGTAGGGTAAATTAGATAAAAATTAGGCAAATTAGATGTTACCATTATGAAAATTTTTTAATATGTTTAATAAATAAATAAATAAATTTGAAAACTTTTAACCAAAAATAATAAATAAGTGCAATAAATAAATAAATAAATAAATATTTACGTAAGTGCAGTGCAGAAAGTCCCTAGGCAATTTCAATTTACTTTACCTCAATTTACTCGAACTCGCACACGGCCTTAGTGATTATAGCTTAAAGGCAATGGCATAAAAAAAGTTCTTCGTCTTTACGTCGAACAACAACAATTATGATTTGCAGCAAAGTATCTTTTTCTGTATATGAACTAAGTCTGAGAATATAGTTGTGAAAAATAAAAGCCAGTGTAGTATTAATGAAATACAGGTTGGTCGCGTATACTACCTGTGTTTCTGTGTGCTGCCAAAGCATGGATGTTATCACAAATTAATGAAGTAACACTGGGAGTTTTAAAGAGAAAAGTTGATTGTAAGATCTTTTGTCTTGCACAAAATTGGCGAATATACCCTGAGTTATATGAATCTTATCACGACATTGATATCATTAAGCGAATTAAGATCTAGTGATTTCGCTGGCTTAGTCATATCGTGGGTAGTGGTGACAATATTCCAGCAAAAACGATGTTTGTAGCGACATTTGGAAGAAGAAGGCGTAAATATAGATCATGCCTCCGGTGAAGGGATCAAACTTAGGGTCTCATGCAGGCATGCTGTCAGCAGGAGCGCTGGTTTTTATGGCTAATTAAGTAAATAAGTAGCAGCATTAAATTAAACACTTAAGTTTAGAAAATAAACTAAGATCAAATCCTGACTGTGACTAAAAAGATCAAAGATTTAAAGTTCTAAGCTTATGATTGCAAAAAATAATGGACAAACT